GGGGGGTACCCTCTGCTGTGTTTGCTCTTGGGTTCAATCATGGAGAATGACCTGGAATTGGTTAGAAATGAAATCCGACCCAGTACACCCCAATTCCAGAGGGTCCAGGGAATGGGTAAGGGAGCAGGGGGTGTCTGTTTCTCGTTTACTAAGTACCCAGCCAAAGCCCTTTTGGTTCAAACTTTCAGATTCATACAGGGAAAAAAAAATATCCAAAATGTCCGTTTTGGTAAATGGAGTAGAAGAAATATTCTTGCCTCTTTACTTGAATAATTGAGGATCCTTTCTGAGCCAGGGTTTTACCTGTGAACTTTCAACGCACTGCTTTCTGAAAACACCCTGGGTGCAGGGTTGGGGGACCCAGGCTGGGGTGTGGCTCAGATCCCTACCAGCTGGGTGACTGCACCCAAGTAACTATGTGCTTAACTGCAATTCTGTCCTCTGTATCAGTGGCCCAGAGCAGCACTGGGCTCATCCAGGAGTTAAATGAGATGATCCGTCTTCTCACTTTGCTTCTCCCGTCCCCGTGCAAACATGAATTGCTGTAATCAACCAGGAGGCCGGGTGCAGGAGACAGGACCTCATGTCTTCTTAAATCCAGGTTAAAAGCTGGGCATGGCGGTATACACTTGTAATCCCAGCCCCTTGGGAAGCCGAGGTAGAAGGATCCCTTTAACTGGAGCATTTGAAGTCAGCTTGGGTAATATAGTGAGACCCCTGTGTTAAAAAAAAAAAAAATCCAAGTTCACTGTAAAGATTCTTTTCATTCATCACTTGTAGGCACAATCTTTGGTTTCCCGGTAGAGAAGAGTGGAGAGCTGCTGGGGTCCAGGTGAGGGCAGAGTTCTTGGGAGTGGGAGTGGACAGAGGAGTCCAGACAGCGGCTAGGGACGAGGGACTCAAAATGTCAAAGGATGGGAGAGGTCTGCTAAGAAGCATTAATATGTAATGTTCTTTGAAAGCCGGAGCCCAGAGCAGGTATCATTTGAGTTTTTACCTAATGGATATGTTCTTTGGAAGGTGATGCCACATTGGAACGAGGCCATGCGGGGCCCGGGGATCAATCTGGATTGCATTTAGGGAATGACGATCAGAATTCTGGAACTCAGGCATTGTGTTCAAGGTGCACTGCTTATTAAAATAATCACCCAAGATCTGAGCTGTTAGATAATTTGTTCTTTCTTTCTTCCCTTTTTTTTTTTTGTCCCGAAGATTGAACCCAGGGGTGCTTAACCACTGAGCCATGTCCCCAGCTCAGGGCCTCGCTAAGTTGCTAAGGCTGGCTTTGAAGTCGTGACTCTCCTGTCTCACCCTCCTGAGCCACTGCGATTACAGGCATGCACCCCCATTCTGGGCATAATTTGTTTTTTAATAAAGAATTACCTGCCAGGCATGGTGGCATATGCCTGTAATCCCAGTGACTTGGGAGACTGAGGCAGGAGGATGGCAAGTTCAAGGCCGGCCTCAGCAGCTTATAGAGACCACATCTCCAAAAATAAAAGGGGAGGTATGGGGAAGGAAGGAAGGAAGAAAATTTCCGGTTTCCTAGAAACGAGCTTCTAAACCCTTGGCATTTCCAGGTGACAGGAGTGCGTGGTGCCCATGGCGTGACCCTTGAACCACACCTGAGTCAGCACCTGAGTTATGCTAATGCGATGGCTCAGGAGGGGTGGCTGGCCAAGCCAGAATGACCAAAGGGTGAGTGGGGGCTCTGAGCCACTGGCATTAGTTGCGTGGGGCAGCGTGGGCTGGAGATGGACTTCAGTGACGTGGCCAACGATTCCATTAATCACATGCAGGATGAAATCCTCATATAACTCTGGGCACTGAAGCCTGGCAGGGCTTCTGGTTGGTGAACTCACGGGCAGGGCGTGCCAGATTCCACGGGGGAGCATGGCCAGGCACTCTGCATCCGAGACCTTCCCAGGTCTTGCCTGATGCGTCTCTTCATTTGGCAGAGTCTGATCTGCATCTTCCATAATAAAACTAATTGTAAGTGTGGGACACACCCAGTCCTAGGGGTCCTTCTGACTCGTGGCCAGTCGGTTGGAAGACCCCGACCTGGGGTTGGTTGGTATGAGGCAGGGACAATCGCATTGGGACCTGTGCCTGAAACCCCGTGTTTAGTGTTGGTGTTGCCGAAAGCTTGGTCCTTGTCCCCGATGCCATTCCAACCACGAGGACACGGTTCTGAGAAAAAGGGAAAAGAAGGCTTATTGCTTTGCTAACAAAGTTCTGAGAAGCACAGGGGACGCCTGTCCCAGAGGCGGTGAATCTGCCATCCGCAGGAACAGGGGCTTTGCCAGAGGTGACTCGGAGGCCACCTTCCCCGTGTTCTGTGTCTGCAGTGGTAACTCCCTCGTTAATTTGGGAGAGAGTCATTTCTGAGATCTTCTGGTGCCGTCCCCAAAGTTCTGGATGACTTTGTTCCCATGGTGGGTGTGGGCTCAGGGACAGAGGGCTGCCGAGGAGGGGGAAGAAAGGTGACCCTGTTTCCCCTGAGATCAGGGGGAGGGGGGCGAGGAAGAGAAAGAAACGTTTCCATTTTAAAAATAAGTCACAGTGACTGAGCAGCCAGGGCTACCTTCGAGGCACAAAGTGACCACGGTCATGTTGGAACTTGGTGGCCGCCGTGCTGGAGTCGAGAGAGAGAGAGAGACCACCGCGACTTATTTCATTTTCAACCAAGAACTGTTTCAGGAGGGCTCGTGGTGGGTGCCCTCGGCCACACCTAACTGTCCAGTGCCATGTCACCCAAGGGATTCACAGACCTTAGACTACTACGCATGTCCAAGGGACAAGGCTGTGGAAAGCACCTGGAGATCGGAATGACTGTGTTTGGAAGGAGGCACGGAACTTCACTCCACCAGGGCAGTGTGGACGCTCCACGCGGTTCAGGGGTGGACCGTTGGGACATTTAGACGCAGAGGATCTGGGGCTTCTCCGTGACCCTGGAGGCAAGAACTGGCTGAAGGAGCTGGGATTTCACAGCACAGTGGAGTGGCTCTTGGAATCTCATGTTAGACTCACCAGCTGGTCACAGGAGAGGACCCGCCTGCCCCCGGCCCTGAGAGCCCCCTCCTCTGTGTCTTGGCAGGCAGCAGGGCCACCTCCCGCTCCAGGGCGGAGGCTGTCGGGCCTTCCTCTCCCACCTTGCAGCCTGAGCCTGTGGCCCGAGCTCAGCCAGTCAGGGGATGGGTGTCGGGGAAGGGTCCTTTTGGCCCGTGACAGTGGCTGCATGAGCCCTGTCATGTCAGAGGCACCCATGACCTCCCCAAGTGCCCCCGTGTGAACTCCCCGACCCCCTCTCTCACCCCTTTCCTTCTCTGGTCAACTGAGGGTGGCTGATTTTCCACGCCTGCCCTTCCTGGCCCAGTGAACCAAGCCAGATAGGGGCTGGCAACACACCCTTCCTGCTCGGATCCTCCCACTCGCTGTGTGTCCCTGGGGCATCGTCTCCCTCTCTGTGCCTCTGACGCAGAGGCATTGGGGTAAACACTGGTCAGTGTCTAGGCGAGCCTGCAGTCAGAGGAGACAGTCTCTACAGGATGTGATGACCGAGGTGATGGAGAGGGGACACTGGCCACTTCCCTGGACTCTGATCTTTAGGTGAGCATCAGAGCAGAGTGACCTTGGTTGTAAAGTCAAAGAGCGTCCTCATAGGACATCTGGAGAAATCCATCTGCACAGGGGCCATGCCACCTGTCCCGCACATTCCCAGCTCCTATGAGTCATGAGACCCCCGTGGTATCCCAGCCTGCCACCGCCGAGGAGCAGGTGAGTGGTAAATCGTCTAAGCCCTCTCCTCAAGTCTTGGAGCTCTTTCCTTTGGGATGGGGGCCACGGGGGGCGCCTGCAGCCCTGGGTGCTGGCATCGGTGATCCGCCAGGCCCCCCCTCACCTTTGTCCCCGGGAGTCTGGGACCATGTGCTCCTAGTTCTCGGGCTGCCTGCCTGTGTCCCCGAGGCTGGTCAGAGGCCATCATAAGAGGCCCCCCCTCTCCTTGCTGACTTTGGAGCAAGGCTG